GGATAGTCTGGTAAATGTGCAATCGCATCATCTAGATATAGATATAAATATATATGTATATATATATAGCAGTGGAAGGGATACCTCGATAATGATGCACAATCATGATTAGATATATTTAAGTGCTATGTGTGAGATAGTCAAATGTGTTAGTAGTAGGAATAAATAGTATTCATTATTCGTGTGCTCGATAGAAGAAATTTGAAGAGAGGAGAAACATCACGTAGCAGTGCCATGCTAAAGGTCATCTCATGGTGTATATATGTGTTTATGATTATGGTTATGGTAACAGGAATAGTGACATTGCAGTGGTCTTCATTAACAATAATTTATCGCTTACGAGTCCGAATAAGGCTTTGATTTAATTTTTAAAGTTATTAAGTTAGACTGGACTTAATTTTGGGATAGCGATATATAGCACGACACAATTGCTCTACTGCGTGATCGGCGCTATCGGAATAGCCTGTTAAATCAAGGTAACCGCCGAACGGATTTCCGTCTTACGGTAGCCTTTTAACGTATATCAAAACCGGGTGACATTATTTCCTTTTTTATTTTTTTTAATTTGTAACATTGATTTCTTTTTCAAGGACAAATTTGAAATTTGCTCTTTGAATATTTGTAATACCATGGGATCCTTGACGAAGTTCAACTATTCGTTGTCTTCAGATTTGTTGACATGATAAAATCATAAACAATTTAAGTTAATCATTTCAAGATGCCTCCCGGTTTTGTGCGCCGTTTATTTAATTGAGAACAATATTTGTTAGGCACTACAGGTGTTACTACACGATTCGCTACTATTTCGGCACATACTTTACTACGGCCGTACTCCGAAATGAACATTTTTGTGTATACATACGAGTATACATCATAATCATATAAAGCGAATCGACCGAAGGTAAGATTTGTATCAATTTCTAACATTGATCTGCTGACGTTTATCTTACGATTACCCGAATCCCAATTGGGGATAATCGATGTTTTTGCTGCTGTTACAAAATGGATTTAAAAAATCTTTTAAAAATCGATTGTCACTCGATTACAGGAAGGGTATATTTCGATTTATCTGACAACCTAAACGTTCGTTTTTGCCATTTCCAGTAACATTGCGTTCAAATAGTATTAAATAGTATTAAATATGTTACAAATTTCAACAATATTCATCGAATTAATTCTTGATAATAACAACACTGATAATCGTGGTGCATAAAAAATAATAAACTTGACGATATTTCTTTGTGATGCACGTATGTATACGTGTGCTTATGAACTACACACATATATACCTATCGCAATAATGTAATATCGCAGTAACAACGGACAGTACCAAGCATCGATCGACGGTGAGAGAACAGTAAGATAGACAGAGCAGATCAGTCGTTTCAAATGCAATTCAAGAATGTGTGGTAAATATATATATATATATATAGTATGTATATATATGTATGTAATAGTAAAAAACGATAAGTAACGGTAAAATAAATAAGCATTTCCGGAACACGGCCAACACTGAGTATAATTAAATATTGGATTTATAACAAATAATGATTTGTTGATCAATACCTCGAAATCCTGCTTGCCCAGCCGCAGGGCATTGTCGATGGACGGGACACGAAACAGAAAACAGAAATACAAAAAATTAAATTTCGTAGACAATAATATCCACTATGTAAAGAGAGACAGGGCTGCACGGTAACATAATATAGCTATTTACCTATCGACGTGGCCAATTAATATTTAATAAACGATTAATATTTCATTGTTCAAGGACCATCTCAAAAGTTCCCCAAGCTGAGAAAAGTCTATCTCGTTTAGAAAAAAAAAATAGGATATAGAATGATCGTTTCTTTCTTTTTTTTTCGTTTTTCTTTTTTCCTATTATTTTCTTTCACGTTTATATAATTAATATTCGACAGACTTTTCTCCAGTGTGACCACGACAGACAAAAAAAACTTTAAGACTTGAAAAATCTTTACGCAGCATCCAACATTCATATACAAGTCATAATGTAATAGTATATATATATGTATATATATAAACTTAGTACTTTCAAACGATCCGTATTTCCTAGTCCTTTAACTCCTATAAACGTAACGTAAATATATAATAAGTGTGTGTAGATAATTATTATAATACAGATAAAAAGAGTCTGCAGCTGCACATCGAGCTCCATGCAAGAAAACATTGATAAATGCTTTCAACAAAATATTGCCCAAAACAAAATTACCGATAAAAAATCAGAGCAATGTCATAAATGCCCTGCCACGAGTGTGTACATTTCTTTTAAATACTATTTCTTTTTTTTTAAACCATATTTTTTGTTCGAGATCATGAACCCCTCTCCCTTCACAGAACACTTCTCGTTCAAATTACGCAATTATTCTCATTCAATGCCTCTATCGCTCTTACTCTTGCAGTCGCTTCAACACTCTTGTACTCAGTTGCTCTTGCAAAAGTAGCTTTCCTGTTTCGTATTATACCCTCTTCCCTCCGCCCTTCTCACCCCATCCCATCCAGTCTCGACCCGCCCTAATTAGTTTGATCCGAAAAGATACTCTTATACCGCCAAATTTCATGAGTTCATCATACATAAGACTGTTAAAATACGTACAGATACAAATTAAGCAGATCGTGGTGGCTAGCGATGGGAGATAATATTGAGTGGTCCTTGCATCAATGCAGTAACAAAAAACACAGAGAAAGAGAGAGAGTATTCAATAATCGAGACAATACGAAGAGTAAAAGAGGTAGTGGCTGAGCGACGGCTATGCTCTTTGATTTTGCATTCACTTCGGTTCAACGATTCTTTCTTCAAACTTAATCTTATCTTTCTTTCTTTTCTTTTCTTTTCTTTCTCGTTTTTCTTTTCCTTTACATTATCCATTGGATTTAAAATATTTGATTATCTTAAGTTTTCGAACGTTGAACCGAAGCAAAGAAACATACTTGAAAAAGTATTACTCAACTTATATACAATCGTCGAACAATGATACCTTTGTTTTAAGTATTAACATTAGAGGAAACAGTAACATTGCAATAGAAGAAGGCAAAAGAAATGAGGGAAAGAAAAAATGAAATAAGATAGATAAATAGATAGATAGAAAGATAGATTTATTAAAAGAGAGAGAGAGAGAGAGAGAGAGAGAGAGAGAGAGAGAGAGAAAGAGAGAGAAATAGAAAGAGGAAAGAGAGGTCGTTTACGAGTACTTATGAAGACAGAAGAAATAGGAAAATGAAGTTGTCAAATATGACATACAAGAAAGAATCGGACGATGTACAAAGGAAATTATTAGTACAACTGGTAAAGTTGAAGTTTTCATTCTTCTTGCACCCTCGAAAATACGTAAAATGTGTAATGCGAACGTATAACGGGCAAGGATGGTGGACTGGTCGTACCTTGCTATTCGCGAAGAGAAGACCAACACCTTCCATGCAAACCTGAAGAAGTCCACCCTCTCCTGTACGCATGTCTTGAACCGGAAATTCACCTCCCAGCTCAATACCGATGTTTCCTCCTCTTCCACGAGCAGCGGCTTTTTCCATAGCATCTTTTATACAGTAGTAAAGGTCTTTGCACTAGAAAAGGTGTTATGAATAAACTCTCTTAATTACTTTCTCAAAATGAAAAATTATTATCAATATATATATAGAAATTATTCTTTTATTTTTCTTTAAAGTTACCTTCTTTGTATAATATTTATGAAATTGTGTTTGACCACCGTTTCGTCTCCATAAACAAAGGACCTTGTTTTTCGGACTGTAGGTCATGTTTACCAATCGTTCATACCACCAACGTTCAACGATAACTCCGTTTACCGATCTCAACACAAGACCGTCATGACGAACTTCGAGGAATCTTAAATCACCGTCAGCATCGACTCCAGCATGAACGGTGAAGGATTGACGATGCATTTGTCGAGACGTCAATGGCTTCAGATCGATATCGTTTCCATGCTGAAAAAATGTATTTATGTAATAGGTATCTCTTTCTGAAAAATACAAATTTAATAGATCTTACGAAAGGAACGTACGAGGTTGTTTATCTGATCGAGAAGCTGATTAAGCTCCTGACTGTAAATCAAACCGATGTGACTCTTTCCCAGTAATCTCCGTACTTTACGTTTCACCTCGTTTTTATCAACGTTTAGCATTACCAAGATCGCAGTGAGATTGTGCAAAAGGGAGCATAACAATCGATCCTCGTCGTGTTCCAACCGACGTCTTTCGCTATCGCTCAAACTCTTATATCTAAATAAACGAATATTATTTAATTTCTGTTATCTTTATTGATTTATAAAATTTTGGATAACGATCATCACCTTTCCATCATTTCTCCTGCACCCTGATCCATGCCCAACATATCTCGTTCTTGCGATACAGCGTCTAGGAAAGCATCCTCCCAGAATTGCATTTGGTCCCAAAGATTGGATCTTTCTTTACCCAAAAGACCTAATCCAAATATAGATTATAACTATAGATTATAAATAATTTATCAAATATTTTTCTAATCACATACCTTCAAAGAGATAAGTTCGTGCTGTTTCAGGACTAGACATTGGTGTCGTAGATATTAAATTTCCACCATGGTATCTGAAGCCTGTACTCAAAGATGATTTACTGGACCAGACGCTACCAGTACGTTGTTTTCCTTGACGCGGAAACTGGAAACAGAAGATCAAATAACGTGGACACGCGGATATGGAATTACTCGTTCACCTTACTTTACCAATAAAAGATTACTAATCATTAATTTAAACTAATATTACGAAGTTTTCATACGCATAGATAATGTCTACAATTAAGTAATTACTTAATTGAAGAATAATGTAAATGTCTTGCTAGTTAAGAGAAATAGTGAGATAGGAGAGATAGATAAGTGGAAAAATAATTTGCATAGTTAGATCCGTAAGTTCGCCTTGAACTCTTCAATTTCATGTTGTGATAATATCTTATTAGAAATAACACTCATCAGAAATAGAGAAAATTAAATGGACTAATTTAATTCAAAAAGAAAATTTAACTCAAGGTGGAATAAATGCATGAAGCAGCTAAAAATGGAACTAAATTATTAACTACCACTGTAATTATTTTTTTTAATCAAACTACTTTTGTGACTCATTCTCATGAATTCATCTTAAACAGAAATCGAAAATTTTGAGAAGAAGAATCTACTAGATCCATCTAAATTTGATGTTGATGATAAATTGCGGAGTATAATATCTACTTGACTAATGCAACTAATTCAATAAGAAATTTACATTGCCTTGTTCAACCTCGCTATCAGACACAGTGCTTCGGAAAGAAGCTTGGTGTGCTTGCCGAAAAGCAGGATTAGTGATAATGCTACCTCCGTCAGTGGATAAAGCTTCGCTGCTTCCTGTTCCACCTCCCCGCCCACTCTAAAAAACATATCACGTTTATAAATAATGTAAATATACATTAGAAAGTTTGCCTGCCTATAAAAAATTCATTTTCGAATGAACTGATTAGCTAACGCTAATGGAATTAACTTATAACAAATACGCAATTAATATCTCTTTTATTCGAATAATACGAATCTTACGGTATCTAAAGACGCGTGGATCAAATGCTTTGCATTTGAGAAAGTATATGTCAACATTAATGATTTATTTCACACGACATATATCGAAGAGAGGAGTTGTTTTATATTATCACGCTATATAAAAATAAAGATAGTTCCAATATCTTTCTTGTACCTCAGAATCGAATGACGTCAGTTTACATAAAAACTTTTTTTTTTTCGTGAACATATCCAAAAACATGTCCGTTGTTGATTGCCCAACGTCACTCGTTTGTTGTCCGTGGGTGAATTCAAGTTGAACCTGAGGTGGTATTTCTGTAAACAAAAGAGACAAGTAGAGGCATCATATATATATATGTATGTATCAGCACCTCTGATTGTCCTCCTGTTATCCAATCGTGTACCTTGCGTTTGAGAACTTCTTAATCTTTGTGATATATCTGGAAGTTCACCTTGATTCGGAGATTGTGGAGACTTCAAATTTTCCTTGCTACCAAATGGGCTCGATGCCTGAATAGTAGATAAGTAATTATTAATTATTTATTATTTATTAATCATTAATTAAAAATTATTTGCGCTATACTCTATTGATTAATGTAATATTATTTTTATTTTACAAACCTGTGATAACAGTGAACTATCGAAACCTCCTTCCGATAGATCCTTACTCCAATAATGAGTATGAGCTATCTCCATCAATTGGAAAACCGAGGCCATTCCACCCAATCCGAAATTACTATAAGTATGAGCGAGACCATGAACCACTGCTTGAAGGCACTTTAGCATTCCCTTATATACTGATTTGGAGATACACTGAAAAATAATAATTATCATATAATAAAAACAGAAGGACGCGGAATATAAATTTAAATCAAACATGTAATACAGCTCACCACATCGTCAATGTGATCATCGGGACTAATTTTTCTATTGAGCCCTTTGTTAAGCTTTGTAACAACCAAGTCTCGATAGCTTTCATCTTCCATAAGTTTCTTCAATCTATTTAATTTGAGCCAACCGACGCCTTCACCAGCCAGAACTTGTGTTACCATCTAATACCAAAATAATACCAAAATAAAACAAGTCCAAAAGAATTGTATTTAAGATTAAAAAACTATTATTAAGATGTACTTACATCCGTTAAGAATGCTTGATTGTCGCTGTTTGTACTAGATCGTTCTGCATTTTGCATTCTTTGCATCTCTTCTTGATTAGCTTTCATCGAAGAATGCTTTATTAACGATGAACGCTCAACGAGACCTGTTTTTCCTGAAACTGAACATTAAATTACTTTCATCATTATTGAATTTTTGTTTTTGTTTTTTTTTCTTTTTTCATTTATAACTTGTATTTAATCGTATTAACCTTTAGGAAAGGGTCCAAACGATGTGCTAGTTTTCTCCTTTGATCTTTGTGTAAGATTCCGATTAGAACTATTTCTGTTACCTATAAAAATAATATGAAAGTAATATGAAAGTACAAAGTAATATGAAAATGTTTCCGACCTTAGTGATTATGACAAAATAAACGTACCAAATAAATCACTGAACATACTGCTTGTTTGAGCAGCGATACCGTTTAAATCGCTACTAATATTGCTAAAGAAATCACGCCCTATGTCTCTACGTCCGGAACGAGTATCTGAGGCAACCAATTGAGTACTGGATGATTCTCTTCTTTGAGTTATACCAGAAGATGGTGGAGTATGAGGTGGTGAAGATTGTTGTGACTCTCCAATACTCTGAAGTAACAATAAAAACAAAATTGAAATAACTGCTCTTCCAAATTTAATATTACTTTCTAGATACCTTGAGCAAACCCTTTTTCGTTGCGACTTCCTTAGCACTCTTTGTTAAATCACCAAATGTACTTTTACCCATGTATGTTAAGTCGTCCAAAGTGTTTTTGCTTACACCTGCAGCAGTCTTGCTAGCTTCGATAGCTGTTTTTGATGCCTCCTGAACGGACTTGGTAGCTTCGCCTACAGCCTTCTTCGTTTGTTGTGTCAACTGGAAGCGAATTCTACTTTATTTTCTATAAGACATATAATTGAAAAATTATTTTGTATAATCAGGTAACGAAGAAACCTGTTCTAATGGTGCGAATAAACTGTCTTCGCCTGCTTCAGTTATCTTCTCCTTTGCTTGATGCTTCAACTAGAAAAAAAAATCTTTAGAAAGAAATATTTTTATAATTTAGGCAATGATATAAATGATATTAATACTTTATCCATATGCGCAAGAAGTCCATCTTGACTACTCTGTCTAGTCGTTTCTCGTACAAGATCCTTTGCTTGAGTCGCAATTTGTTCAAACAACGAACCCTGTGATCCTTGTCTCAAAACACCATTTCCTGGCATACCAGCATTGTTCTTTTGTCCATCCTGTGTACTCGATTGCTGACGAAATGCCGTAAGAGTTTCATTATCCATACTACCACTAAGCTGTCGTGTTAGAAGTGGACTCGTGCTAGATCCAAAGCTGGATGTTCGCGCCAAAACATTCCCAACGCTTGGTTGTCTCTGAAGACTCGTTCCACTGGGCATCACCTTTAACATTAGGTAGGTAAAATTTGTTACCTTGATATATCCCTTTCGTCTTTACTCGTCTTTGCAGCAAGCTTTCATTCAAGATATCGCACGCAATATTGTGCATACATCAAATTAATTCTAAAAGTTGATCGATCTCAGTGGACAGTGTTCTCTACCAATAATACAAATCATTGATTATATCTTTATTAAAGACTAAAAAGTTAGAGACTGCATACTGTGTAGAATTTTTTTGTCAATATTATAACAATTTTTAATTGATAAAATGTATGTATAAATTGAAAATAAGAATTTACATAGAATATTTTCGATTTGATAGGAAAGAAAAAAATATGAAGGAAAAATGACATACATAAAATCATATTGTACTTAACTACGATAGGAAAAATACGTAGATATACGTAAGTTAAACGAATAAACCCAAGTAGTATCACATAAACTGTAAGAAAAAAATACAGTTTCATGCCAAGTGATGTTTTTCGAACACGATGACATTCGCCCAAGCCAGTGAAATTGAAAATGATACCAGATGTGCATGCATTCATATAATGACATCGAGACAAGACGGTATCTTTTGAAAAGATAAATGCAGGACAGAAATCCGATGCACGCATATAGAATGACTCACAGGAACCATATATCTAGTGACGCGTGAAGTCCTGTGAGGGGTGGTAGTGCGTTCAGTGTCGTTGAGCAAGGAGTTACCTAATGACCCCATGCCCACTCCAAACTGGCCTATTGAACTTTGTGCGCTCAGGATTGTGCGTGGAGTTATTGTTGATGCAGAGTCTGATTCAAAACTACCACCTTCCTCTTTATCCTATGATCAAGTAATTCATTAGCACAAAAAGCATGTAACATACAAAATTTAGATGAACGTTTAATTAATATGAGATATGTAATGACACTGACCTAGTTTTGCGAATTATGTTTTTTCATCGACAGTGATTGTTAATGATTGTGTATTGAACATTTTTAAAGGGATACGCGTCACGTTTTAAGCGATAGAAAATAGCAGAAGAATGAGAAAATTTTCTAAAAAAGCTTGTTTGAAAAACGACATAGTGTGATATGCGCACGACAAGGAGCATTGTGATAAAGCCCATCGTTCTCTTTTGACGTAATCATTTCGGTTGTTTCTAATTTATTATTATACGTATAATAGAAAACATTTCACATTACGATAAACCGTTCCATCTTTTTTCCACTTACATTGGTAGATTGTGATGTTTCGAGAGCATTAGGATTCAACTCCAATTCGGAGTCTCTATTAAAACTCGGACTGCTGAGATCGCTATGACTGGAGGATGTACTTGGTGGACTTTCAGGACGTGCCGGTGATTCTTCTTCTACGCCAGGATATTGCAATGAACTTGGTGGATTATAAATGTTCTTTGGGTCAATCGAAAGTGCCATTTGTTGAGGTTGACTGACTTGAGGACAATTATAGCCTGTAGAAAAGGTAATATAAATGAGAAATGAACGAAAAATATCTACAAAGATGCAAAGAAATCTTTTCTCACTTGGTGATAAATCCGACGATGCCATTTCCGAAACGAAATCACTGAGAGAAGAATAAGAAGAGCTCGTGCTTTCTGCTCCTTCTGAATCCGAACCACTCTCGTCAGTCGGCTGACTCTCTAACTCCTTCAGCGCATTTAAGGCGTTTGCCAAAGAGCTAGAGTTATCCCAAACTTTGAAATGTATTGGCTCAAGATTCGCAGCGTACCATTTTGACTTATCACCGATTTGCGCCGGATCAAAGACACCGGTTTGTACTCTCAAAAAAGCAACGTTACTAGGTGTAAGCGACCACTCGGCGAGAAATTCAACAGCTTGTGTGCGCGCAAATTTGTTCAGAAACTGACTTGCTCTTGGTCTCGAACGGAGGAAAGAATTTATTTGAAATGCAACTACGGGTCTTGGATAGAGCCTCAGCGTGCGTGTGTGCTCAGTAAAGTTGGCCAAAAGATTTTGGGAGTTGAAGAAGCGGACCATAGCCACTCGTGTTGCAATATCAACCGAATCAACGTCGTTACCGTAGATAAAGGGGTTAAATGGTGGAGCTGTAATCGAAGTTGTTGATGTTCCACTGCCTGTTGTGGTCCCAGGTCCAGGTACTGGCGATGATGATGAAGGAGAAGGCGTACCACTTCCTCCAGATGCTGAAGCTGATACCATCGCAGCTGTCAACGATGGACGACGTAGCTGTGATGCGTTGCCACCCAATGGGCTTTGTTGACCGTGACCATGTTGGTAATCAACGCTCGGTCTGTGCCTCATTGTCGACACGCTAAAAAATATAAAGTTCGTTTTGAATAGACAATTCTCGCATTTACTTTGTAAATTTTAAAGCTTCACCTTAAATTCTGAGAATGTTGAGATGCTGAACTTTCTCTTCTGCTTGGAGATTGAGAGGACAATCGTGATGACCAAGTATCTGGTGGTATAGCTTGCGAAGCGGACATACTACCCATTGTCTAAAAGTGATAAAACATGAAAATATATAATCATTAGTAAATGAAAAAAGCGAAGTAATTCATCTACAAAATCTATGATTGCAAGCGTATCTTAAATCAGACATAATCAAATGTATTAAATGATCTATTGAAAGAATAAATCAGCTATATGGGTGGCACTAATAGGATTATTGCAAAAAAAATTGTTGCATCGATAATATCGAATCCTCCAGTAAAGGAAGTGCGACGTTCGCGCAATGCATACGCAGTTTTCAAATTAAAAGAATCACTACAACACTGCAACAGATTCCGCTTACTGTTAACTACTGTAAAATAAATATTATGTAAAGAATAAAAAACTAAAAAAAATAGAATATTTACACCAGAGCCAACTTGATCCATCAGTTGCATTGCCTGCGGAAACGAATGGAGTAATAATTATTAGATGATGGATGAGATTAGTTGTGCGTATGATATTAAAAAAGACATCAAAATGATTTTAAAATATATATCCAAGAATATTGAACCATTGAACTAACCTGTTTCAGGTGGTTCTTTAGTATGGTACCTTCCGGTTCAGGCAAGGGTGGTAATTGATCCGCCGAACCAGGAGGTGCAGTTACTTTATTGCTATCGAGATCCACCAACCAGACATCATCCGGCATTTTGAAATTTTTCTTATACATTAAAAAAGAGGCAGGTATTCCGATGATATATGGCGTTGGAGCCAGTAATAGTTGTTCCGCGCAGCTCATGCAGGTTGGTAACAATGGTATTGCAGGGAACATGTATTCTAAGGGATAGATCATTGTGACAAATGCCATCACCGACATCGACAAAGCATTATAATCTCGTGATTGTAATACGATCTGAAACGAGAGTATTTCAAAGATCGTATTCAAATTATATTATAAGATCAACAAAATCGATTGTGATCAATAACGATAATAATTACCTTATTTTCTAATAAAATGAGAGTGAGAACTTTCAAACATATTTCAACGCCAAGAAGTTCGAGAGGCAAATGTAGAGGAAAATCAACCAAAGAAAATCTTGTATGATCAGGTAAAGCAAAACAGAGTGAAGGCTGTATAATCGATGATACTATTTCGATTTCTACACGCGTTTTCGTTGGCACTGGCACTGGACTGCTCAGCAATCTCAGGATCCAGGTTTCGATCTCCCGTATATCGTGTAACACGATGGACGGAGTCCCTTCCAAAACTTGACCACTAAGAACACTCCACACTGAATCTCTGAAGATAGAAAAAAGAAAATAAACTGTACTTATAATACTATACTATATAATTGAAACTATTGTTTCAATGTTATAATTCAAAGCCGATAAACAGTACCTATTAGTTTGCCTCGAAGCTCCTACTTTTTGAGGAGTTGAATTATCGTTGCATGCATCAATGATTTTCTTCAAAACGAAAAGACATTCTCGGAACATCGAAAAAAATGGATGATGAGAAATGATACAAAGTGATGTTAAGGAATGATTTCGAATCCTCTGAAAAAAAAAAATAAATATATATATCTGTTAATGATCGAAAAATTGATTAGAAAATGAACAACTAACCTGCCGCCTTCGAGAAGCTCGTGGTGAAGGAGAATGACTACCACCACTTTCACTGTCACCACTTGGTGCTGTAACACCCAATCTCGGTGCGTAAGGCGCATGGGACGTGTCAGAATCTCTTCTGCTACTGGAGCAATCTTTTTCAGAATCACTAGGACCCACCGCGCTGCTTCTATAGTCGCTATAAATAACAGCTCGAGATACAATCTCATTATTGTGCTAATCAAAATCCTATTACCATGGCAAAGAAGGATAAAACACTTAAAAAACAATAGGATGTGATGTTTCACCTAGAAAATGCAGAATCTGTACTTTTTTCCATACTCTTTCTCCAACTCTCCCTTCTAAAAGTGGTATTGTATTTGTCTCTTCTCATTGAAATACCACCACGTGCATTTGTTCCAGCCCTTTCTATAGGTCGATAGAAATTAACGCAAATGCCATATCGTGTTTTTCCTAAAAAAAGAAAAAAAATAGGTAGATTAGATAATATGTATATTAAACAAATAAAATATTTATGTAAAAATATGTACGATTAGATAATTGAAAAGAAAAATATTTTCCATTTCTAGGAATCTTACCTGAGTCCTTATCCGTGAGGGTGAAAGTGAAAGACGTAGCTTCTCGTAAGGCTGTGCGTTTAGGTCCCACGCTGCTGCAACCTTCTGGTTGACAAAAATACACCATATCCAGAGGTAAGGGAAAATCTTTGTGATCCTCCACCGGATATCTGCGCAACAATTCTGGAACCTAAAAATTATAGAAAAACAAGTTATATAAACTTTATCATTTGTTTTCTCATCTTTTTTTCTTTTGGATATTAACACGTACGTATGTATGTATGTGCATATATAATATACCTGCACAGGCTGACGAGAGATCGGAGCCGATCTGGCTCCCACAATAGCAAGATAGTCCACCAAACGTGGACAAAGTTGCTTCTTTTGTATATCCATGGTTGCCATCTGATGCTCTGTCACCGTTTTATACAATATATGCAAAAGATTTCTGCCAATGGTTTCTCTTCGACCTCACTTCCTACTGCGATCATGGCTATTTCATTCTTTGATCTTGTGATATCAGCCTGTAACTGAAAGTCTAAATCAGCTTTTTAAAAAGCTCTATGAACATACTTCCTAAATAATTATATCATCTCACAGAGACGTCAAAATCGATATATCAGACTTTTTTTATTTCATTGATTCTTGTACAATGATTCTTTCATCGAAGAATCTAGTAAAAGGATTATCATTTTCAGATCTTTTCCAGAATTATCATTTTCAGATCGACTAACGATTACGAACGCTATTAATTGACCGTGACACTATTCGTCATCCTCCACTTTCGTATTAAGTTATTGATTTCTCGCGTCGCAAGGGCAACGCCGTGGCGCATCCGCGCGTTCTCCGTCTTTGCCTAGTTCATACTGCTCGCTTTTTTCTAAGCAGTATCACCACCACCTCTTTCTCCTCCTCCTTCACGATCACCACCACCACCGCCACCATCAGCACCACTAGCAGAAGCAAGACAAAAAATAGGTCGAGGGGATCCTTGAAACGTTTCACTGAAGGATACCCTCAAAATATAAAAATTCTTTAAAATACCCTATGTTACAAATGCAATCGATTAATTGATTAAATTAAATAAAAATTGACGAAAAATAAATTGAATAAATAGAATAAAGAACATAAAAGATTAACACAATTATCAAAATATCAGATTATTTTCAAATTTCATAATCAGGGTCTAAATTTAAAGAGAGATACGGACTATAGTTCACTAGAGGCGCTCTTTGAATTATCGATTGATCATTATCCATATTGATCTTTCATTTATACATTTAACAAACCAAAAAAAAATAGAGCAATGAATGAACATATCGATATATGATGAAGTCATCCTAGATTTTTTCTAGAACGTCCAAATATACAATGTACATCAACGTAAAATTACCTGTTAATCAGAAGATACTTCTTACTGTTCGCCTTGTGATAGCCACATGTCGGAAGAAAGAAAAGGAGAGGAATACTTCCCGTCAAGTTTCCTGCTAACGAGAAACAGGAAAATTTTCGAAGCTAACCGAACTAACGGACTAGCTAAAACGACTAACGATATCGCTTAGCACTGATAGCACACTCGCTATTTCTTCTTCCAGGCAAGCGCGAACGTGCAGGAGCGGATCGAGCGAGCGAGTGCCTTCGCCAAACAATTGTACAAACAAACGATCATTTTATTTTTCTTTTTCATCTGTGACAACTATACTAAGTCCAACTTAAATTTTCTTCATGATCGTCTTACCTATTATTATTCGTGTTAGATGTAGTGTTTAAGATGTTCGACCGATGCGCGCAGTTAACACGCGCTAACCATCGACTGGACTCGTGGGACCACTCGAGCTAGCTAACTCTACCAGTAGAATCGATCAATAACGCCCTCGAATCGACAAGGGTCTGGCTTACCTTGCATCCAGCTCCTCTTTTCTTTTCTCTCTCTCTCTCTCTCTCTCTCTCTCTCTCTCTCTCTCTCTCTCTCTCTCTCTCTCTCTCTCTCTCTCTCTCTCTCTCTCTCCCTCCCTCCCTCTCATTCGTTTATTACCTCATCCTCAGTTTGACATTCACGTGTAATTTTTATTGTTAAAATTACTCTTTTCGCTACTTACTGATACGCTTAACAATTTTCTTTTTCGTGGTTTTCTTAAGATAAACTGGCCCTTTTATTCTGAGTTAATCCTTTTACTATTTTCTTCTGGTTGATTTTTTTTTTTCTTTTTTATTCCTTGGAAGAAAGTAAAGTGTAACTAATTTACGTTTCTATACGTGAAATATTGTATGTATATTGGTATAACCGACGTGTTCTTTTAACGAGAATTAAATCGACACAGCTGTTCAATTTGAGGATCTCATATATTATTATTTCTTTTACCATTTACATTCCGGCTCTGTGATAAATTTATCAGTGGACGGTGAAAAGTTTACAACTTTTCTTTTTTTTTTCTTTTTTACCTATACTTTTCGTTTTGTTTTATTTTTCTGTTTTCTTTTTTAGCACAACACAATTTCCAAACGACGAATTTCTGAAATCCTTACGTTTGGTTACATTTGTGATCGTAGCTATAGAGATGCATAATTGAATATACGAATTTACATCGTCGCAACAATTATACAATGTTTCATCTTAATTAACTTTACTTAACTTTTTCACTTTTAGCGTGCATAAATATGTATGTTGTATGTATATAAGTCAATACAATAATTTTAGCCCGAGTCTTTTCATAGACATATATATATATATATATATATATATATATACATATATGTTTATTATTAATGAGATCTTATCGAAGCAACGGACTGCATATCGTTGTCATGTTGGTACATAGACAATTTCTTAAAGATACGATCGTTTAAATAAAAATAGAAAGAAACCTAAAAGAATGATGCTTCAAAACTGAAAAGAAAAATTACAATCATTTTTTTGCCTAATTTCTTTACAAATAATCAGTTGATAAAACGGAAATATACTTGCAATGCAAAATTCTCAACGTCTGCTGATAAGAATAGAAATAAATAAATAACTTTAGGAAACGTATAAGAACGTTCCTTCATACGATTTGTAGTATACAAAAACCTTTTTTTTTCAATTCTTCAACGCTAGTAAAAAATACTGTACATTCGACTTTTACACCCAGATATTATAATTAAGTAAAGAACTCCTTGCGTGTAGATTCTTTTTTATACAATTCGTAAATAAAATATGTTTAATATATTGGTACAATCGATGTTACCATACGCTATGGTAAACGTCAGATGTCGAGGGCGGTATCAGAGCCATGATGATAATCCTCGTTTAACAGCGGCTCCTGTTCGATGACCATGTGAACTGTAAACAAAACTCTTCATGCATACCAATACAAATAGGACGATAAAATAATTTATTTGTAATAATGATCTACGTTTTTCTCATAAAATCGTTCACTGATATTTTTTATAAAATTTCAAACGTTCACAAAGAAAAAAAAATAAAAAAAGGTGGACGAAATTTCAACACCATCTCTCTTTTCCATGCGAACACATTTAAGCATTCCAATACAATCATCATCTTAATTATTACATAGAATTAATTGTTAATAATTATTAAATAATGAAAATGAAAATAAATGTTTCATATAGATATCACAAATAAAAAAAATTGTAAAAGATATTTTTTTTCTTTTTTTTTTCTAATCGATTTTAAAAATGGATGCAAGCTATACATGCAGCAGAGCAAGCATCTATAAATGCTACTGTGCGTAAGTATTGTTAATAGTGAAAATTATTAGATACAAAACATGCTGTTTTACATAGATTAATAATAAATGTGTTAATAACTTGCATTATAAGGAAATATAAAATTTAACGAACCCGTGATAATTGTTTCATCGCAATAATTCCATGCAAGAAAGAAGTGCAATTTTTCGAAAGAGAAATATAAGAATATTTTGTATATTTCTAAAACTATTTATTTGATAATTACATTTGATTTAATACTTGACTGTGGCAACGTTATCAATGAGTGAGAAGAACAGGATAAAAAGGTAAAAAAAAGAGTCGTATGACTTTTCGTTTTAAATTAATTTTTAAGTCGAATTGTTCGTTTTCTTTTTTCTTATTATTTTTTTTATTTGTTGGTCAAAATAGACATACTTACGTGACAACTATAAGAAAGACAGAAAGAGATAGAGAGCCGCAGAGAGAGAGAGAGAGAGAGAGAGAGAAAGAGAGAGTGAGAGAGAGAAAGAGAGGGGGAGAGAGAGAGAGAGAGAGAGAGAGAGAGAGAGTGAGAGAGAGAAAGAGAGAGAGAGAGAGAGAGAGAGAGAGAGAGAGAGAGAGAGAGAGAGAGAGAGAGAGAGTTCAAAGAATGTAGTGTGAACAAAGCATACTACCTTGCATATTTCAATATTTTTTCAAAAGTGCAAAAAGAGACAGAATAATAAGCGTAATATGTAGTAGCTTTACGATTAGATTGGTTATATTAAATGAAAAATGGCAAATGGTGGTAAACTCGTTTATCAAGAAGAATAAAGATACAGTCGATGCACAAAATTTGAACTTTCTACCGAATACGTTCTCTTACTATTTTTCTATTCTTTTTTCTTTTTTAATTAAAAAAAAAATAAATAAATAAATAATCCAAGCAGAAAGTTGCTCTCTCATTATTTAAATGATCACTTGCAACAGTTTAATTATCTTAAAATTTTTTCGTATCACTAATGTGTAACAATCTGATGGTAAAATCGTTCATCGAATACATTATTTTACAATTTCCTAGGTACATTAAAAAATTTGGTAATAACTCCCGGAAATAAAATGGGAAAAGTTTTAAATGGAAAAAATTTTCATCAAGGATGATTCAAAGCACAGTTATGTTGTAAGAGAAATGCTTTACGCGAGATAACAATCAAATTAGTATATGACATTACTCTGAAAGAAGCTCGACCGATGCATAAAAATAGGATTTCATTGCTAAAGACACAAAGGTGAAAATGTGTAACATTAGGTTTAAGATATAATTAAAGTCTCTAATAATCGTAATAAAAATTGTTTAATAGATTACGTAAATATGTACGATATTATTATCTCGTTCGATTATACTAATATTTTCTATATGATTTAACGTCAACGCAATTCCTAGAACATTTTTTTCATTTTACCGACTAATATTATATGTACAAGATTGATACGTATACAGATATACTATTAAAAGAAAAAGTGTACGTTCACGAGATACCTGTGACAGTATTACACACAAATGCCATGATTTTATTACGTGTAGTGCAAGAAAGTGTCTTCTAGAAAGAAATAATTAAATTTGCAACTAAGTTCCATTAAAAATCAGACCATCTAATTTTCTATATTTTCTTTATCGGTGAAAAAAGTATAATCTATATTAATATATACACACATAAATAAAGATATGCATATGTTTATGTGTGTATATATATATATATGGGTGTGAGTATATATTTTTTTAATATATATATATATATATATATATATATATATAAAATGTATTCGAACTGTATGCGGGTGCAGGAAAAAATTTCGATCACATAGAAACAATATTGAGAAATAAATATTATCTATCTCATTCCAGAGTGTTATATCATAATGAACTTAATACCTATGTATATCAGTATCTCCAAAGTTTACAAAGGACATTTCTGCAAAAGGCAGAAATATTATCAAAATAAATTTCGATAATCTCTATAATATACTTGTATTTATATGTATGTATCTTTATGTAAATTAGCAAAAGAGAAATGACTTAAGGTGCGCCTGGTTGCATTACTCAACCGTGATGTAATGCATCAGCGCGAATTTTTATCTTACCACAGAAATTTCAAATTATACTCTCCTTCTTCTTTTTTCTACTCTAATCAACCAAGCAACCAACCAGCATATATTTTCCCTTTATACCGAATCTTAAATAATATTTTTTCATGGTGGTTCCCTACATCGATCATTAATCGAGATGCAATTAATTTTACAAAATGTTTCCGTGCGCCTACAAAAGAGATAGACTTTGACCAGCTACGGACAGCTTTTCTTATTTATGAATTCGAACAAATTACACCTTACTCGTAATCTTCTTTCCCTTTTACTAAAACTATATATGTGGCGATGATCATCGTAAATATGAACGATAAAGATCGATATATCACCGATTCGGATTTTACTAGTAGTTTATGGAATAGCTATATAATATTATAAATTAATGTGATAACAAATGGGCTGTACTGTTCAAAGGATATCTGTACAATTAGAGTAGTTAAATTTAAACTGAATACCTATTACTTTCCGTTACACATTATGTATCCCGTTTTTATACATATAAAATAAATGATACAGATCATTTATTATCACAAGTAAGTCTTAATGGTGTTTTTTTTGCAATTTGTTACGTTGAGACCTATTAGTACCATTTTTTTCGGCGACGTTAAGCTGAGGGCCGATAGTGCGATGATCCCCCACCGGTATTCTGAATAGCTTTATCTTCATATGATCACAAATTTCAAGGCAGACTTGAGCACTATATCGCAGAAGGTCCAACGTGACCCAAATCTAAACAACATAGATCAGTTCGATTTTTTTTATAAAAATAAAAACTTCATACCTTGGGATTTAGCTTGTGGTTCTTATCGAGATGAGTAAACGACGATATAAGAGACGGGAACACTTACGAAGCACAACCAAAGAACGTAGTACTCTTTGATAAAAAAGTTGAAATATTGGTTAAGAAACAGCATGGCTGGACCGATTAAGGAACTATCTAAATATTGCATTTCGTTTTTCGTCATATGAGCGACCTGAAAATCAAGAAAAACAATGTGATATATTATGAAAGGAAACATGAACTAATTTACTTTTCTATTTTTTCAGAATTCTTCTATAATATACCTACCACTAATCGATTGGTAACTTTTGCTGCAACCATCCCAAATGCAAGTATATACAACGCGGGATGATTTTCGTATACGTGTTCAGTACTTTTCCTATAAATTATGAAAGCTGGAACTACCACGAAACTAAATGGGATGATCGGCGACAGAACCGATGTTCCCTGAAATTCAATTATCGTTATGCAATAAAACCGTCCAAAAAAATCGACAGATATTTTTGTACTCTTTTAAAAGATTTTTATTATTATTATTATTATTATTATTATTATTATTATTATTATTATTATTATTATTATTATTATTATTATTATAATTCTCATCTACTACTCAATTACGACTACAGACAAAATAAAAAAATAACGTTAGAACAGAAATAATGAACTGAATGTAAAACATTAACTTCTTTTTTACATGTATCATACAATTTTATCTCTTTTTATGGCATAAGCTAAAATAATAAAAATGAACATAATAAGAGACTGATAATTAATTATTCATTATGATGAATGATTAAAATGTTTATGAACTCCAATTATTTATCGGTCCCTCTGTTGCAGACATTACTCGACGACTGTATGCATACATAATTTATTTCTAAATATACCAAGCGGTGCTAGCAAGAGTTCATGCGTAGAATTATAAATAGTAAGGGAAATATAACACATAAAAACCTGCTGGAGAGATAAAGCGAGAGACAAAGATATAAATCTAGCAAAACAGAAAAAGAGAGAAAGATATATATATATAGATATATATAAAGAGAAAGATGTGAGACATTTTCATAAAGAGAAAAAAAAAAAAAGAAAAGAATGAAGCCAACAGAAATCGATAAATGATTTTGCTGGCGTTCCTACGATTTTGGCTAAAGATTCATGCAAGATACATACGCGAATTGTTCGATAAATTGACATTGGATCGGTAGTGAACGTGGAAGAGGACAAGATATAAAGAAAAATGCTCCCTAAATTTTTATAATGGTCAAATCCTTAAACGAGAAAGAGAGGGGAAGGAAGAGAAACGCGTTTTGAGTGTAGTATAAACCTTATTGAACACATCGGCGAATACGAACAGAGTGTTACAAACAATGTCTGTGATGCTTTTTTGTAAGATTTAGGCCCAGTTCAGCATGAATAAGGATAAGCAAGTAGAGAAGTATTCTTTGTGAAAAATATTCGTGTAATCTTGTAAACCTTCGACCTCTATCAAGACACTACGAGATGAGACTAATTCGTCGATTGAAAGCACAGAACATGGCCAAATAATAAGCAGGCGATGTGTATGTATATATATATATTTGCATATATATATATATATATATATATATATATTTTTTTTTTTTTGCAATCTAGCCAATATCAGAAGCAACCTACACGAACGTCAGAAATCTTCGTAACATTGTAACGTATTGTAATGTTTTGTGTAAAATTAACTTTAGATTGTGATGTTTACATTGTGGCTTCTTTTTTTTTCTTAAGAAACAACAAAGCCTTTACAAAACGTTCAAACGTAACGAAGGAAAACTTAAACGGATAATTATCTCCGGATCACTCGCTTATCAACGCATACACGAATAATACACAAATTACCATATTGGGCCTAAATCAAAAGATATATACAAAGTGCACTACACAGTGGACTTAGATATGTCTGTAAAACTCTGACTTACTGCGACGGTGGAGCCATTTTTTCCGACACCACCGGCAAGAATGACGGATATACTGCTTTGTGCAAGTAAAATAGCGATGCCCACGGCGATCCATAATGGAAAGATCTTGACCTCTGTGCCAGTATATGGCAACTGCATGAGCGATACGAAACATCTTTCCGTTAGTTGGCTTCAACAGCAAGCAGAGTGAATATTCTTAATCGCTTTAATACATTTCATTATTATATCTAAGCATCTTGAAAGAGAAAGAGAGAGAGAGAGAGAGAGAGAGAGAAATTTAATTATATATGTGCGTGTTTGTGTGTATGTATATATAAAGGAATGTAAATAGAAAGATAATTAGAAGAAGAGAAAGAGAAATAAAGTGCCCTTGAAATGATTTTCATTCGATACATCCACAATGATAGTCAAAATTTTTATATCTGTATAATAAAGAACGAAATATTGCTCTCCTACTCGACCATCATCGCCATAACCACAAACAGAATCCAATTCGGATACCTCAACAATCTCATAAGATTAAAAATATCGAGTACGAAATGACGATAAATAAATGACTTTCAACATCGCATTGCACGAGAGTGCACCAAGTTACCAGAGAGTACAAGTAAAAGATATACCGTATTCATCCCTAACAGAGGCAGTTCGAGATGGTAGGTGCTAGTTATATATGTCCTCCCACAATGGAAATGATTAATTAGAAAAATAGAGAAAGTAGGTACTATGGATAGGATAGTTGTACTAGGAGAGAAAGAGAGAGAGAGAGAGAGAGAGAGAGAGAGAGAGAGAGAGAGAGAGAGAGAGAGAGAGAGAGAGAGAGAGAGGGAAGGAGAGAAAGAGAAAGGGAGAGAGCTAGATATTAGAAAGAAAAAGACAGAGAAAGAAGAAAAGAAACAAAGAAAAAGTGATTATCAAGCGTAAGAAACTGTTGCAAAATTTGGTGAGAAAAGTTTGTTCTAATCTACACTGGCAGAGGTAACAGAAGAGGTTAAACAAATTTTTTTCCAGTATTTTTTGTTTTGTTTATTTTTGGTTTTTTATTAAATACTGTGCGAGCGATCAAATCTTTTTTTTTGTTTGGTCTGTTTTGTTTCTTTTTCTTCGAACTTACTGCAATTGTCGAACCGTTCTTTCCAATTCCACCGGATTCAAAGACTTTACAAAATTGAAGAAAGACGTGCGCGTAGCCCGCGTAAAATATCGCTGCCACGTAACAACTGAGTGTGCCCAGACCGAGCATAGGGATCTAAACAAATCCAGAAAATCTTACTCTTTAAGAAGATCGTGAAGAGCAGAAGAGAAAAACTTTTATGTGAGTTTTATATCTACTATCACACTCGATTGTATTCGACGTTGGCACGAATTCTTCATGTCTCTATAGTCATCTAAAGAACGCAGACCTTCCAATTCATTCCTTTTCGATTATCAACGATTCGATTCTAATCCGTAATGAGATCAAATAGAGAAAAGCCAAAAATACTCGAAGATGAGACGATTATGAGGTACATAACAGCAAATTACAGCACTCTTCTTCGGTCGCAATTTAAAAGAAATATGGATCATCATCATTGAAGACGATACATTATTCAATATCTTTACTATACTCTTTTTATAGAGGCATACTTAAAAGGAAGCACAATTAATTGCTAAGTAAGAGTGTATGTGTTTTCGTCGTTGTCGTATTACTGTTGTTGTTACTGTTTATTTTGTTCTATGTAGTCGATCAACAAAAAGAAACGAGCGCAAAAGTATAAGCAGGGGAGGGGACATGTGGGAAAAACTAAGGAAGAAACAAATATTGCATAATTTTGTTAATACGTTAATTAATGGACTTCGATTTGACGCCAATTGAGGTAATTATGGGATTAGCGATAATCTCAAATCGAAAGAGATTTGACAGAATGATAAATTATAGGGAAAACCTCGATTATCGGCGCGAAATATAAAAACTAATCATATTGTAAAATTAAAAAAATTCTGATCGAGGAAAAAAATCTCCTCGATGAATAAATATTAAATTTGCGATATTATTACGTCGCTTTTATATTCTACACCAAGCACCAATGATTAAAATACAAATGAAGAAAAAAAAAAAAAAAAAAAAATAATTGCAGCAAAAATTCTATATATACACTGTAATAATACGAATAAAAGAACGCTTAAGAACCTATATTTATATACAGAACAATAAATTACATTCGAACGTAACATCTCTACGTTGTAAAAATTTTTGAAAAAATGCATTTCATCGTGCAACGTTCAAACGGCTTTATAACGTCTTGATACTTTGCATAAATGTAAAATATCTCTTTTTAGTTCGTAAGATGACGTACTAATAAGTTCATTAAATATTTGAAACTTAGACAAATGATTGGCGAGGAATCGTAATTATACAAGGAAATTGATGATATAGGATCAACGTAAACAATTCAATGGGGAATATGGAATTAAAATGTGTATTAAGTTGTTAAGTATTGGCGGTATATAGAAGTACTTCCAGCACTGCTCTTCATGCCATGCTGATCCCATTTCCGTATGTTCAACCGAAAAATCTAATTTTCGAACTTACAGCCACAGTCGAACCATTCTTGCCCACTCCTCCGGTGAAAATCACCGAAAATATGGAATATAAGTTTGCCAGAGCACACACCACTGTCATAACTCCTATTAAATATTTCAACAGAAAACCATCAATGTATGGTATCTGGAAGAAATGTTCACGTTAGACTCATGAAAAAATAACACGGATATATTTTTCCAAACTCCATGAGTCATTTTCTCTATTCCTATTTCCTTATTTTTATATTATTATTCAATTTGTATGTGTATATTTCGTATTCTTAATAAAGAATACGATAATAGCACTTTTTGTAATTGTAAGATTCGTAAAAAAAAATGAAAAAAATAAATAAATTAATTAAACAAAAACTGTACGATAATAATAATCATAGATCTATTTGAGTTAACTTTACTATGCAATATACATCGGAGGGGTAATTTTAATATTATTTTGTACATAATACATCAGCATGTTAAACATATTATAAAAGCAAGGTTAGCAATGACTAGCCAATTCTTATGAAATGCTAAGAAAAATTTGAGTCATCCTTTTACTACTTAATTCCTCGCATATATGTTTGCTAACCATATAACGCCTATATTACTTGTGATTATTTGTGCTTCCTTTATTCATAATAAAAATAAGTTTTCATAGCAAATAGATCAAACTATTCATTGTAGTAACTCAAAATTTTAAAAAGAAAATAATAGGAGAAAATACGGTAAAATAAAAATTTTCGAATATGTGTGACTCACTACAAATAAAATTCAACAATATAGATGAAATGTAAGAAAAAAAAGATACAACCTCCATCATCCAAATCTTAGGTCCAAAAATAGCAGAAATAAGATGTATTCCTATGATGGTGAACTGAGCTTCTGTTACATCCACTTTTCCAAATCTTAAAGATCCTGTTAAAAAAGAATATATAAATATACAAAATCAACATTAAATATATAAAACACTGTATCTAGTTATATCATATCTTGGAAAACAAATTCTGTTTACCTGAGACATAAGTTTGCCAATGCGCGCAATAAAATAAAGTCATTGCGCAAAAACATTGGAAGAACATCCATGTTGGATAATATCCCAACTGTACAGCTATACATGCGGATAATGCTACAAATACTGAAAAATAAAAATAAATGAAATTAAAAATATAAAATAATGTTTTAACATTACAGTTATAATAAAATAATTACCTGTGGATATTGAATCACATCCATGATCAAATAATTCTCCCAATGGCGTAGACGTACCAGTTCTTCTAGCCTGTTTGCCATCAATAGCATCCAAACTTTGGTAAATAAATAAACCCAACGCACATAAAAAACATGCCCATCTAGGTGCCTATAATAACAATAATATCTCAAGCAAGTATACACAATTTAGTAAATCTTAACTATTATACTTAATGATTAATTACTAACCATAAAAATAAATTTAAGTAAATAACAAGCATAACAATAATAAAATTTTGTTCAAAAAACATTAAACATGAATTTACTATTATTATGTCAAAAGAAAAATAACAAATAAAATAAATGGGCAATTTAGATAATATAAAAACATATTTAAAACATTCGTTCATAGACCATGTTGGTATCTTTAATAATATGCTGTATAATGCTTATCGTTAGTTATATGCGATGATAAAGAAAACTTAGGTTATATATACCTCAACTTTTGCATCGGGACTATAATACACTAATATTAATGTAGTAACAATATTGACAATTAGACCCAATATAGTAATTAAATTCGGTGCAAGCCAAAGTGGAACCTTGCTGACAAGCCAGTCCCACCAGGGTTGAAGAAATGCATCCAAAAGACTATTAGTTGTGCAACTATATTTGTGCTCACTTAATCGCTTCAATTGTCCAGGCGAGAGTAATTTTTCTTTATAAAACTGCATATTTCGAATTTCGCGGCTACTCAAAGCGCCTAAAAAGAATTAAAATAATACAACACTCATCGATTCTTCGCAATATGAACAAGCACAATTGCTAAACATAACAAGTAACCGTTTGCCTGAATACATACGACATCTCCGCACTACTAGTACGCATCAAGCCGGAACTAGACTTTCTGCTTGTAAAAAAAGCGCGTAAATTCAATATACGACTTTAGACATAATAAAATCAGTATTGATTTCAACATCATAATTTAATGATTTTTTTTTATTCAAAAAATTTTTATATCTTTTCTTATTAATTATACAAAATTTTATTTGATTCTAGTATATTTTCAATATATATTCATTCTTTTTCACTATTCTCTAGAAATATTAATATATTTTTTGTTTTTTTCTTACATCGAACACTATCATTTTATCAGTTTACTCAGTGATAAGTCGTAATATAAACTTTTTCTGATATATATTTTTTCTCTCTTTTATCTAATACGAAATACTGTTCATATTTTGTGTTATTAAATAGATGATGATTTGATATCAGCAGTTTACAACTCGAAAAGCATGGCGGCTTTAACTACCTTTGCAAATGAGTTTCGACTCGCTGCCTATAATTGTTTAAAAAAATTAAATCCATCTTCATTGTATAAAACAACACATCCAGGTAATAAAAACATCTGTTAAAATCATATAAAAGATCTTGATTGCAATTACTAGAACTTAAGATCGAAAGTAACCTCAATTCTTTACACTTTACACTTTACTATAATTGTATAATATATATATGACGTTTGCTATAAAATATATATAAAATTAAATTTCAATGGTTTCTTTTTTTAAAATATAAAGTTACTATATGACATATATTGTTTTAACACTTTGTGAAGGACCTATAACTAATGTTACACATAAGAAATACATTTGTATACAAAATGTAATAGATTATTCTCTGTGCCAGCACTATGTCTATGGAAACCTGGAAGAGCCACATATCGTACATTTTTGCCATGGATGCCTACTATACCAAAACATCAAGTCGAAATACCGGAATATAATGAAGAAAAGGAAAATCTAATGATAGGTTTATTTGTATACATACAAATATATTAATGGATAATAAGAAAACCTAAAAACACATGCTTATAGAAGTTCATTTTTAGATGTGATAAAGGAGATCAACAATCAAATAGCAACAGATAGAGTAGGTAGATTGTTTGCAATTGTTCACATATGTGGCAAACAATTTAAAATCACAGAGAATGACATCATAATTATGCAAGGTTATTGGCCTCCTACAATTGGGGATAAATTAAAACTTGAAAAAGTATTGCTAGTTGGCGGCACTGACTTTACTCTTGTAGGAAGGCCTATTTTAAATCGAGAATTGGTTTCGATCGATGCCACTGTTATTGAAAAGACATTATCACATACAAAATATCATTTTAAAATGAAAAAGAGGAAACAATATCGTAGATTAAATTGTAAGATAAAAATAACATAAGAATAACTATATTAGATAACTATCACCTATCTATAACCTGTTTAATCATTTTATTATTTCAGTTTATCGAGTACAACACACAATGTTGAGAATAAACTCTATAAACATAAACGGCAATATCGATAAAATGAAAGAGGTGGAAGGATTAGATAGAATATATTAATACCAAAGTAAAATGTATAAAAAATATATTTATCCATTAAAAATAGTATACGATGAAGAACATTCCGTGAATGATAAGACAACTATATTATCCCTTTGTTATCATTGTACCTACACTCGACCATGTTTGTGACATAGACAAAGAATCACTTCTTCTTTTTATCCAACACATTACCGATTCTAGCACAAAGTACAAACATTATAGTCAATGTACTATTAAAAACTCTTGTATTCTTTAAATAACTTTTCCATACGTTTGTAATAATATTTATCACAGATTATAGTCACATAAAAAGATTCGATTTAAATCGTATTAAACATCTTTCAAAATTCAAAAGAGAAAAGCGCGTGCGCAGGAGTAAATAGAAAAGAGGAAGGACATATATATATCGTGAATGCAATGTAATTTTTACTGTTAACGGTTGACGTCAGTACGCCTTTCGAACCAGATGAGCACGCCTTCGCCGTGAAAATCCATGGCGCGCGCGGCCATGGAAGCAACGCATAACGCTGTCGATTGGCAGTCGACCGCGACGCGTTGCGTAGCGTGGAGTGTAGTTCATCTTTTTCATACGCATTTTGACCTAACTAAGCGTAAAAAACATCAGAAATTTTGTGAAATTTGTTAGTAATAACGTTCGAAAGTGTCGCTTAGTGTCGAGAAATATTTTATGGTGTTTATTTACGATTAAGAGAGACGTACAAAAACAGTGTCAAAAACGCATTTTTTCACTGTGTCTTTTTAACAACGATTCTTTAACGCGCGTTTAAGAGCAATCAAAAAGAAAAAGAACAGATAAAAAAAAGAAAGAAAAACAAGAAAACATGGTGCTTCCCAAGTGTTACGGATTTATTAAATACGCCCTCGTGTGGGTGAATCTTGTCTTTTGGGTGAGTTTATTTTGGTCATCTCCGTTTGGATTGATTCTCTCGTTATATATTCAACCAATGAGAAGTCTCCTCTAAGATCTTGAAATTTCATCGTAATGCGATTTATGAATAATTGCTGATAATTACCTTGGTAGATGTTATAATATATACATTTCTTCTATACAAATTTATCAATTGAAATTTATTAAAAAAAGAAAAATA